GGCGCTCCCTCAGCACTGACCCTCCGACAGTGCGGCGCTCCCTCAGCACTGACCCTCCGACAGTGCGGCGCTCCCTCAGCACTGACCCTCCGACAGTGCGGCGCTCCCTCAGTACTGACCTTTCACAGGGCGATGCACCCTGAGCGCTCTGATAGTGTGTTGGCCCTCCTTTAGCACTGAACCTCTGACATTGCATCACTCTCTCAATACTGACCCTCCAACAGTGCAGCATGCTCTCACTCCTGCTCTGTAATTTTCAACCTAGTTTATGGTCTGAACTCGCTGCAGGTGACATCAGCTCAGAAGTACAGTAAAGTGGCTGAAAATTTAACCTTAGAGAGGTCTAGTGGGTGGTCAATATTGCATGTGGTACATGGTTCTGAAATGGTGGGGTTAGTACCCACACCTATTGTGATTCTCACTTTCCAAACAATATAGGCTCACAGCATAATGACACAATGGTCTAGTGTTAATGTCACTGGCATAGGAATCCTGACGCTCAGGCTAATGTTTTTTGGGATTTAGGTTCAAATCCCACCTCAGCTCTGGGAAAGTAAATTTACAGTGGCCATGGCAACTATTGTCAATTGATGTTAAAAACCCACTTTGTGGTGATGGAAATCTGCCATCCTCTCCTGGTCTGGCCTATGTGTGACTCCAATCTTTCAGCAACAGGGTTGACTTTTGACTCGCCTATGAACTCAACTCAAGGGCAATTAGATATGGGCACTAAATGCTGGCCTCACCAGTGACACTCACATCTCATAAAAGAGTAGAGAAAAAAAAAGTAGGATTCTCAACCACCCTATCTCCCTTCCCCTTCTCTCCCCTCACAGGCCTTCTCCCTCCCCTCTCAGCTTTCCTCATTCCTCTTGATAGTGATGGCTATGGAATGGAGACAATAGACGATCACCTCCAGGTTTTCTACTCACGTGTATGTCTCCACTTGCTGGAGGTTTGGACTCATTGTTGAGGATTGGGGAATTTGACAGGCTGCAGAGTTCGGGGAAAGGATTCGGGATAGTTGGGAGTGATGTTGTTTGAAGCTCCTCCTCCTTTAGCTGCCTGGAATGAATTTAAAATACTTCAGTAACATTGTAAATAATCATCAGCACCAAAACTATTGGATAAAACTTAAGTGCTGCAGAAGTGGAAATCTGAAATAAAAACAGAAATGGGTGGAGTTTTCTCTCTCTCACAGACCCTGCTGAAGTTCTCCAGCAATTTCTGTTTTTGTTCCAAAAGCATTGAAGCAGGTCAGCGATCATTTGAAATCTCCTACTAAACTCATTTTAGAAACTAGAAAAGAGTTTAGAGTAAGATAGTTCCTCCCCAAACCCCACTGGAATCACCCTTAACAACTCATGGCCCAGGGACAACAGAAACACATCCTAGAACAAAGACACCTTCATTCCTGGTGTTGTAATCAGAACAAGGTCCGTTAACTAATCCACCTTCCATTGTCTCTCTTTTAGTCTCACTCCTCCAGCTTCCTCCAGTTTCTCTCTCAGTTCTCTCTCTCATCAGCAGTAGGCCATTCAGCCCCCATGAGCCTGTACCACCATCCAGTGAGATCATGGCTGAACTGTGGCCTAACTCTGTATATCTGCCTTTGGCCCACATCCCTTCATAACTTTGCTTGACAAACATTTACCTACCTCAGATTTAAAATTAACACTGATCCAGTATCCAATGTTGTTGTGGAAGAGAGTTCCAAACATCTACCATTCTTTGGTACAAATCCCCAATGGTTAACCAGATCTATTTTAGTTCAAATTTATGCTTGGAATTTGTAAAGGGTAGAGTGTTCAATTGGGCTGTGACTGGTATAAGAATATTGTTACCTTTTTACTTGTATGTGAACAGGCTGTGACCTCGGGATCACTGATGTGGCCCATGGTCCAGGCTGGCTCCTGGCCAAGTGACCATTGGGCAGTGTCACTGGTCCGTCCTTTTGCAGATTTCCCGCTTGGTACAAGTTGTCCAGTCCGGTGCTCACAGTCTGCTCCAATGCCATGAAGTCCATATCAGCATCTAACAGAGACAAAGACCCAATCAATACACATCTAATCAAAACGACCAACCAAACTACACCCCCTCCACTCCACCCATTGAGGTATAAAAAGAGAGGAGAGCTCCATTCAGGGACCCCCAGGGACATGGCAGCCCCAGTCAATGTAATGATGCAGCCAACTGCATAGGTGTGGGATGGGAATGGTTGGAACTGAACACAGGGAGAGGGGTGGTGATGGAACCTGAGCCCTGAAGGACAGGGTCTGGGATGGCGGGATGGTGGGTCTGGGGATTTGGATTAGATGTGGGACAACAACCAGAGTTTCTGTGTTCAACTCCAGCTAAAGGTAATAGTAGGAAATGAGATATAATAGGGAGACCTTGACTGGCTCAGACCTTTTGCATGGTCCTTTCCCAGACACCAAGCTCGTCAGCCCCTGTTTCCTACTGAATCAGGAATCTATCCACCTGGGTTTACATTGCCTGATCTTGTCATCTTGCCTTCTACTTGTGAAGCTGATTATAGAGTTTTAGAGTCATAGGGTCATACAGCACGGAAACAGACCCTTCGGTCCAACTCATCCATGCTGACCAGACATCCCAATCTAACCTAGTCCCATTTGAGAGCATTTGGCTCATCTCCCTCCAAACCCTTACTATTCATATACCAATCCAGATGCCTTTTTAAGTGTTGGAACAAAGAACAATACAGCACAGGAACAGGCCCTTCAGCCCTCCAAGCCTGTGCTGACATTTTGCCCTTCCATGTTAAAACTGTCTTCGCTTACAGGATCCATATCCCTCTATTTCCTTCCTATTCATGTATTCGTGCAGGTGTTTCTTGAACGCTGCTATTGTGTCTGCTTCCACCACCTCCTCTGGCAGCACGTTCCAGGCACTCACCACCCTTTCTGTGAAAAACCTGCCTTGCACCTTGTTTTAAACCTCCCTCCCTCCACACTTGAACCTGTGTACCCTCGTAATTGACCTGATTCCCCCTGGGAAAAAGCCTCATACTTTCCACTCTATCCATACCATTCACAATCTTATAAATGTCTATCAGGTCGCCCCTCAACCTCTTGCATCCCCGTGCAAACAAGGGGAATTGTACGATTGAAAACAGTTAGAATTGTACCAGCTTCCATTACTTCTTCTAGGAGCTTGTTCCATACACACACCACTCCCTGCATGAAAAAGCTACCCCTCAGACCCCTTTTAAATCGTTCCCCTCTCACTTTAAACCTGTGCCCTCTAGTTTTGGACTCTCCCACCTTAGGAAAAAGACTTTGGCTATTCACACTATCCATGCCTGTCATGATTTTATAAATCTCTATAAGATCATCCCTCAGTCTCAACGCTCCAGGGATTAAAGTCCCAGCTTATTCAGCCTCTCCTTATAACTCAAACCCTCCAGTCCCAGCAACACACTTGTAAATCTCTTCTGCACCCTTTCAAGTTTAACAGCATCTTTCCTATAGAAGCGTAACCAGATTTGTATACAGTATTCTAAAAGTGGCCTCATCAATATCCCGTACAGCCACATAACATCCCAACTCCTATACTCAATATTCTGACTACTGAAGGCAAGCGTGTCAAATGCCTTTTTCACTACCCTGTCTGTGAGTCCACTTTCAAGGAACTATGCACCTGCATAGGTCTCTTTGTTCAGCAACACTCCCCAGGGCCCTACCACTAAGTGTATAAGTCCTGCCGTGGTTTGCCTTATCAAAAAGCAACACATGGCATTTATCTAAATTAAACTCCATCAGCCACTCTTTGGCCCATTGGCCCATTTGAGTAAGGTCTCCGTTGTACTCTGTGATAAACTGTCCACTTCACCACCTATTTTGATGCCATCTGCAAACTTATTAATCATGCCTCCTATGTTTACATCCAAATCATTTACACAAATGAAAAGCAGTGGACCTAACTGCTAACTTCTGTTTGGTTCCATTAACAGAGGCAGCTCCAGTACTTTCTCCAGGTCTATAACCAATTGCTACAGGGCTTCTTGTCTGTGGGATGAGTCAGCGCTCACTCCACTCTGTCCTCAATGTTTTAACGAGCAGTACACTTGAGAGAGCATTATTAAATGGTACAATCCCTGGCCTCTTTCCTTCCCTGAAACCTAAAGACTTTCAATCTGATCCTCACTTTTCCTCTGATATCCAGACTGCCATTGGCTAATTTAGCACTGGTTAGGGATCTCTCTTGGTACATTGTGTTGCTCAGTGCCTCATACATAAATATTGTCTCTTTCTTAAATCTGGGGTAGGCTATTAATCCAGAAATGCAAGTAATGTTCTGGAGACCTGTGTTCAAATCTTGCCAGGGCAGATGATGGAATTAAGAGTTTAATGATGACCATGAAACTGTTGCTGATTGTGAGAAATCTGGTTCCCTAATGTCCTTTAGGGAAGGTGTGACAATATGAGTCTTTAAGAGGGATTTGTTCTGTCCTGTTTCTCTTGAAGGGGGTTGTTGTAAAGTTGTAGACTTGCTTGCCAAGCCGGTGTGTTTGATTGTAGACGTTTCGTCACCCTGCTAGGTAACATCGTCAGTGCGTCTGTGGTGAAAGGTTGTTGTAAACTTGGTACCCAGGTGTTGGCTTCATGGAAAGCAGAGTAAATAGCTTTGGGTTTTTCTTAAAAGTTGAGAAAAGAAGCATGAGTGAGTGGAGTCAGGCTCACACAGCCCCAAGGCTTTAGTTTTGCTTTCAGTTGTTGAAGTTAGGGTTTTGGAGTTGAAGCTGCTAGATAAACCTGTTTCTCTGATGCTGTAAAAAGCTTGAGTTCCGTCTCTGCTGCTAGATTCATTCTGTCAGTGTTCCTTCTCCTGGACTGGGGGGGATTGCAAGTGAGGGAAATCTGTTTTGCTGAATTTGCCCATGTCGAGGGTGTGTTTATGGATGCTGAAATATTGGAACAGTTGATGAGTCATCGCTAAATAATATATTATTTTGTTAAGTATTTTGATAGAGTTAAAGTTACGCCAATTATTTTTTCTTTGTTTGTGTTTTAATTGTTCTATAAGAATAAAATGTGTTTTACTCAAAGCCTGGTGGTTTGACCAGTTGAATCACATCTGGAACGCAGCACTTTATACTCACCTTTAAGTAAGATGAAAGTGAGGGTGTGGGCTATTTCCTTGATATGTTTTGAGGGGGTTTGGTTGGTCTTAATAAAGGAAACTGCTGCCTTTACTTGGTCTGGCCTCCATGTGACTCCAGGCCCACAGCAATGTGGTTGATTCTCAACTGTCCTCTGATCAATTAGGGATGGATAGCAAATGCTGGTCTAGTCAGTGATGCCTACAACTCGTGAATGAATAAAAATATTTGTCTACCGTCTGTAAGGCACTGTCAAGTCTCTTTACTGAACTCTGCTGATCTCTCGAGATACAGCAAAAGGTGAGGAAGGGACAGGAAAAGAAGAGATTCCACTAGGAATTGTGCCTGTTCTAATTCGTTTAAAGCAATATCCAATTAATTACAGTCACCTCTGGTCTTTCCCAATGTCCTTCAAGTTCCTTTTCAATTCTCCTTCTGAAAGTTACCATTGAATCAGTTCCCACCACCTTTTGAGAAATGTGTTCTAGAACACAACAACTGGCTGTGTAAAAAATAATTGCCATCAACTCACGCCTGGTCTTTTTGCCAATGATCAGAATCAATGTCCACAGGTAACTGACATGCCTTTCAGTGAAAATGATTGAGTGGGAGTTCTGAATATTGTTTTCAGACCCATCCTTTTCAGCACTGTGTTTCAGGGTGGGGGAAGGGGCAGTGGTGGGGGTGTACAGTTTTATTTTGTAATGCTGAGCAACCAATAATCGGTCCCAAATTTCTAAGCTGACGTTTCTGGTGGCACTCATCCAGGAACTGGGGGAGAGGGCTGAGCCAACTTGAAATGTTGTTCTGGGAGTAGTAATTCCCACTGGTACAGGTCTCAAGAGATTCAAAGATCCTCAAAGGAATCATCCATACTCGCTTCTGCAGCACCCCCAGCCCTGAAACCTGATGTGCAATGATCTATGACTGTTTAATATTAACTCCTCAGGTGAGGGAAAACCAGTTTATGGTGCACAAGTACTAGTACAACACAGGACATTGTCCCAGCAACAGTGTTTGCTGACCCACATTCCAATCAGCCCATTATTTCTCAAATTAGACTGACTCAACTGGGTATTAGATAACTGAAAACAAAGAGGTTATTATATGTGGAAGGCCCAAAGAATGTAATCGTTTGATTAAACATATATGTTTTTTCTATATCTGTGTATTAAACATTTTGTGTCACACTGTCGTCACAAGGTGCCTCTCCCACTTGACTTGTTTTGGCATCAGGTAGTCATGCCCTTTACCTGGCACTGAGAGAGGCAATGATCATAGAGTTAACATTTCAGGTCCGGTGACCCTTCCTCAGAACTGAGGAAGGGTCACCGGACCCGAAACGTTAACTCTGTTTTCTCCTTCACAGATGCTGCCAGACCTGCTGAGCTTTTCCAGCAACTTTGTTTTTGTTCCTGATTTACAGCATCCGCAGTTCTTTTGGTTTTTATGAGGAAATGATCACATAAGCTCCTGTGACTTGCGTAAGCAGATTCAGATAATTTGTCAATTATAGAACACAAAATGCTCATGAACCTAATGTGTGTAACGGTATGTGTGTGAGGTAATCAATGGGCTCCTTAGAAGGTTTAAAGGAGAAACAGTGAGGATTGATCAGTGAGGTGAGACACTAGTTGCTTGGGAAGCTCTTCATACAACAATCCACGTGCGTGATGCATAGGGATTAGTAAGTGAGCAGCTTCGGGGCACACTCTGAACAAACCATCGACACCAAGAAGGAATCATCCACTAAAGCTCTTCAAACTCACAGGAGCTTTGGGTGACCTGCATGTACCCATGTTGGAGCTTAAAGTAGGGGACATTTATTTGACAAAGCAGATTTTAAAAAAAATCAAATGCCAGGTCAGAGGCAAGAAGAAAAAAGAGGAAGATAGAAGAGAAAGGAGATGAGGAGCCTGGAAAGGAGACGGGAAGAGTTGAGGTGATAAAAGGGTCAAAGAGGAGGAGAGGAGGGTAGAGGAGGAGGAGAGAGTAGAGGAGGAGGGGAGGGTAGAGATATTAAGGAGTACCCTGGTACTTCCTGTTTAAAAAATTTTGTATGGGATATGACTTCTTTAATTGTTACTCTGCCCCAGTTGTCCCCGAACAGATTGGCTCTCTAGGCCATTTCAGTTGACAATTATGAATCATCCACATTACTGAGGGTCTGGAGTCCTGTGTAGGTCAGACTGGGTAAGGAAGGCAGATTTCCTTCCCTAAAGGACATTAGTGAACTGGATGGGTTTTTACGGTGCAACAGTGGTTACATGTCAAATTTCACAATCTGCCGTATAGGATTCAAACCTATTTCCCCAAAACATCAGGTTAGAGCTCAGAATTACTAGTCCAGTGACATTACCACTACACCATTGCCTCCCACCATACTAGGTTATAAATGAAGAATGTAAATCAGTTGCTGGTAACTTCACACTCTACACACAAAGGAATCATCTTAATCAAATTTCCTCCCTTTAGGGAAGTTTCCAATTGAATGGAAAATAGCATATGTAATTCCTTTACACAAAAAGGAAGAGACAAAAAGCAGGAAACTATATACCAATTTGCTTAACATCTGAAATTAAACAACAAACTGTGGATGCTGGGGATCTGAAACAAAACCAGAAAATCTCGAGAAACTCAGCAAGTCTGGCAGCATCTGTGGGGAGAAAGCAGATTTAACATTTTGAGTCCAGGTAGATGTTAGAGCTGTTATTAATGATATTACAGCAAGGCAATTCGAAAAGTTCAAAGTAATCAGGCAGAGCCAACATGGTTTTGTGAAAGGGAAATCACGTTTCAACAATTTATTGGAGTTCTTTGAGGAAGTAATGTGGATACATTCTTTTGGTAATATTCAATAGATGATTTGGGGGAAAAATGGCTGCTTAAATAATTTAGATATTTTGATATTTTAGAGAAAAATACTTGTCTGGATACACCATGCTTTAAGCCTTTAAATAATAAACAATTCATTAGCTTGTTTCAGTAATTAATAAACTCCACACTCCATTGTACAGGAGGCTTTCTGTTTCTTTAGCAAGGTATCTGATATGCCTGTGAACAGCAGAGTTGATGATAGACACTGACAGTGAGATTTACTACGACTAGGTGATGTGAGTTGATCAATAAAACCCAATGGTGTCATCTATGGTTCAACAATAATGCACCAAACTCCAGTGAATTGCTTTAGCATTTGATAAGAAGTTCAAACAATTGAAAAGGTGTACACATTATCAGACCCGGGTATGGGAATGAAAGTTCCTCATTTCTTCTGAAGAAATGTGTGGAGCTTGCACATTCTCCCCATGTCTGCGTGGGTTTCCTCCGGGTGCTCCAGTTTCCTCCCACAGACCAAAGATGTGTAGGCTAGGTGGATTGGCCATGCTAAATTGCCCGTAGTGTTCAGGGATGTGTAGATTAGGTGGGTTATAGTGGGGTGGGTCTGGGTGGGATGCTTTGTGGTTCGGTGTGGACTTGTTGGACCGAAGGGCCTGTTTCCACACTGTAGGGATTCTACAAAATTTTCTATAAAAAACCTTGACACGGATTGGTGCTGGGACCTATCCTTTGGTGTACTTCGGGAGAAATTGTCAGATTGGGAAACTGACAGTCCATCACAGCTTCTGAGGAAGGGTCACTCAACCTGAAACATTAACTCGGATTTCTCTCCACAGATGCTGCCAGGCTTGCTGAACTTTTCCAGCAATTTCTGTTTTTGTGACCATCACAGCTGATGGCCACAGCAGATATTCTGCTTTTCATTGACACTGAATTAGTTGTCCAAAGAGCACAAAATGGATTAAACAATCCATAGCCTCTCCCTATCTAAACCTGGTGCCAGCCTTTGTGTGTGTTAGGAGCCTCAGATTTAGTTGGTTGAGATGGCATGTTGATAGTTCTCTTGGCATTCATGGAGAAACTGGCAAAGCTGAAGATAGTGTGCAATGTTTGACAGCCAGTATCACCAGACAGCTTTGACGTAAATTGGATTAACTTAATGACATCCCTGATTCATTTTTCAAGTCTTTTAAATACATAGCTTTTGGACCATGAGCAGACAATACTGGGCAGATTTGAAACATAATACCCTAGTGTGTGCATAGCAGGCATTAAGATATGGCTGGTTGGAAATGAAAGTGCAACTATACTTGGCAGAAAAATGAAAATGAACAAGTTTTGTTTGACATAGGTGTGAGTTAATCCCGTCAAGACTTGCTCCACACAAGAAAATTATGAAACACGGAAAGAGAAATAGTGACAAAATACTCCCCTTTCTGCACCCAGATTTATTTAATATGACCAGTTGAGAGGTGTGAGCCTAAGAAGTTTACAGATGCTACAGGAATGGAGAGGGTCGGAAAGCAGATTACACAGTGAAATTCCAACAGTGCATTTGAAAGCAAGTAGTATGAAACTAAATACTGTGAAGGTTGGAAATCTGAAATAAAAACAGAAAATGCTGCAAATACTGAGTAGATCAGGCAGTGAACCTGAAACATTACAGTATCTTTTCTTCTCACTGAACAGATGCTGTGACACTTGCTGAGTGTTGACAGTATGTTTTTTTTTTGTTTTTATTAAAAGGGTTTTCTTTGTTTTCAGTACCTGTCCCAATGTATAGTGCGTGGGGAATGCCAAGAACATGGAAGTGTCTCTTTAACAGACAAAAGTTTGAAACAAACAAGATTTGATGACTTTACAGCTGTGATAATAGTGATTTAACTTGTTAGCAAAAATAGGAAGGCAGATTATTATCTGAAAGACTGTAAATGGAGAAAGGGGAATGTTCAATGAGAACTGGGTGTCCTCCTGCACCAGTCACTAAAAGTAAGTGCGCAGCTGCAGTAAGGAAGGCAAACTGTATTTTGGCCTTCATAGTGAGAGGATTCGAGTCCAGGAACGAGGATGGAATGCTGCAATTATACAGGGCCTTGGTGAGGCCACACCTGGAATACTGTGTGCAGTTTTCATCTCCTTATCTGCGGAAGGATCTTGCTATAGAGGGAGTTCAACAAAGATTTACCACATTGGTTCCTGGGATGGCAAGACTGATGTATGAGGAGACATTGAGTTGGTTAGGATTGTATTCATGGGGGTTTAGAAGAATGAGGGGGAATCTCATTGAAACCTATAAAATTCTAACAGGACTAGACAGATTGGATGCAGGAAGGATGCTCCCGATAATGGGGCAGTCCAGATCCGGGGGTCATAGTTTAAGGATAAGGGTCTTAGGACTGAGATGAGAAGGAATTTCTTCACCCAGAGTGGGGTGCCTCTGGAATTCACTACCATCACAATGCACTGAGGCCAAAACATCATGTACTTTCAAGGTTACACAGAGGGTGGTGCATGTGTGGAATGAACTTCCTGAGGAATTGGTGGATGTGGGTACAATTACAACATTTAAAAGACTTTTGGATAAGTACATGAATAGGAAAGGTTTTCAGGGATATGGGCCAGGAGAAGGCAGGTGGGACTAGTTTAGTTTAGGATTATGTTCAGTATGGACTGGTTGGACTGAAGGGTCTGTTTCCATGCTGTATGACTCCAAGAGGTAGATATAAGTCTGGTGGCTAAAGGGATTGAGCAATCTGGGGGAAGGCTGGGATTGTGGTATTGAACACAATGATCAGCTATCATTATATTGAGTGGCTGACAGGCTTAAGGGGTTGAATGGCCTACTCCTGCTTCTATCTTCTATGTTTCTACATAACTCCTGATGTCTCTGCCAAGAATTTGATAGTCTACCTCAAGGACAATTCACATTCTTAGGGCAAGTCCTTGTTTCAGACACTGTACTGTGGAAATGGATCCTATTTCATGCACAGTTACTCCTGGCCAGCCAGTAAGCAGTGGGGGGGAGAGGGTGGTGCGATGACATTGATGATAAATCATAAAGGAGGAAGTGGAGATGGTTTTACCTAAAAAGTGGTCACTGAGAAGGGGATGTGGCAAGAGTGGCTAAATCATGAATTTACAATAAACAAATTATTGAACTTAACTGATCAAACTTGGGGTGGAATTTTACAAGGGTCTGAGCAACATGTGTGATGGCAAAATTTGTGGGAGATTCAGACAAAAAGTCCAATGAGGTCCATCTCGACATCAGCAGCAGCTTCACCATCTTTGATGCTTTTCACAAGTACCAAGGCAAGTTTCCCACCAGGTAACAGCAGCGGGCTGCCAATCAAGGAGATTATAGTTTATTAAACACCGAGTCAACAGCCCAACCCACCTCATTAATATTCAGCTTCCTATATTACCAAACAAGATAGACATCGGGAAAACCCAACATGGAAACAGGTACCTGGCAGATTCAGCTTGCTGCTCGCTCACTCTGGACTATCTCCATGTTGTGCTCAATGGCATAATTCATAAGCACCAGCCATACACACACTGCTCATCCACAGGCACTGGCACCCAGCATCTCCAACCCATCACAACTAGCATGACACCTCTCTGATCCACTTACAAGCCACAGAGGAAGCAATGACTCACATTGCAGAGCACCTACAGCATGCGCAAGCTGCTTGTGCAGTAAACACACTACATGTGCATTCAACTGAATGGCTACATCAGAAATTAGTGGGGGTGAATCTTTAATCCAGTCAGGGATGAGGTGGGGTGTGTGCTTTCAGTCAGAAGGTCCCAGCATTGTCAGTCCAGGGGTTTAGCCACTGCCAGTTGTCTGCTCGGGACACTCACAGTCAGGGGACTGTTCCCAGCCCAATCCAGGGGGTGTCCAGAAGTCAGTCCTGGAGGGTGGGGGCCAGCTGTCAGTAAGATCACATATTGTTAGTCAGGGAGCTGTTAAACAATGGTCTACGGCTGGTTGGTCAGTCATCTGTAGGAGCTGTTCATTAAATTCAGTCAGAGTCTGAGGCAAATAAAGTGCTAGGGGTCTGTCTATTGATCTTTCAGGGGAGTTCACAGGAGAGCTTGTAGGGCAGTGGAGGGGCAACTCACTACCAGAAAGGGTGGAGCAGTCAATGCTGGGGAAATGGAAAGTAGAGGCATTTGTAGAGATGGGAACCAGGATGGTGACGGGAGGGAGACTCAAGGTGTGGGGGGGTGTGTAAGCAGAAAAGCATGGGAATACAGGGAGCGCTTTGGGAAAGTGGGGAAGGGGGTTAGTGGCAGTGGACACCACTGTTGCCTCCAGGCTGATGCTGGGTTGAGGGGCCAGCGAGCACAGTTGCAGGTGAGGCCCGATGTGGTAGGTCTCTACAAGGCTGGGAATGGGCTGACATGGTGGTGTAGGGTAGAAAGGGACAAGGAGGCCTTGGAGGTGGAACGTAGTGACCTGGTATTGATGTTGTTCACTTTGAGTTGCATTCCCTGCTCTCACTTACCATTCTCTAGATGTGAAACACAACTGGAAAATGGCTAGGACAATGCCAGGGTGGACAGAGAGTGTGTCAGTTTGAGGGGGGAAACTACAGGTCCATGTTTGCTGGACAATAGGACATTGTAGCAACAATACACAAAGCTTCCATTTGCAAAGTATAGCTATATTTAATTTGTAATCATTTCATTACCCATTTATTCTCCAAGCAGATTAAAGGTGCTTAGGGTTCAGGTGCTGGTCAAAGGCAATTTAAAATGTGCCATTAGTGCTTGCAAATTGAATTTGGGCATCTCAACATTACCACAGTGAGAAGCAATAACATTACAGAAGGCTGCTGCTGGGCAAAGAGGGACCATTATTCATTAGAACTTCCAAAAGTCCTGAGTGAGCCATTGCTTTATCATCTGTCATGTTATTGAACAATGGGCTGGACTGAATGCAGTGAGAAGGTGAGTGTTTGATGTGGGTCTGAGGTAGAGGGTGTCTCTTCGCACTGGCACTACCTTCTCAATGACATTGGGTAGTCACTCAGCTGGTTTGGCACCTTCACCAAGTGTTTTCCAGTGTATCTGGACTGAGTGTGCTGTATCATCCTGGCATGCTGTACTCTGGAGCAGGCAATCAGATGATGTGCTGGATGCTGAGGAACTGAGAGTTTAGGGTGGAATTTGGGGAAGAATTTGAGGGCAAGGTGGAGGAGGAAGCTGTTATTGTCCATGACAGAACTCAATTGCATCACTTCCAATTGATGACAGCTGGGTGCGGCACACAATCATGGGCTAGAAAATGGTCATTGGTTATGATGCAATGTCTGGTTTGAACTTTGCGGGTGAACTGCAGTTTCTGTTGGTTTGTGTTCACTCATGCTGCCTGTAAATAAAAGATCATGTTTGGAAATTGTCCTTATTGTTTGCCTGTCCCCCAGCTGGACAGCAACAAACTGCAGGTCGGCGTGGGGGATATAGAAGAGTGGGGGTTCAGATCGGATGTAGCTAAGGTGTGGTTTGGTGGGGAAACAGTGATGGGGGTGAGAAAATGGGGTTGTACGTGTAACGGAGAGTCAGCCAAATGTGCCATTGTCAGTGTGCCATTACATCACTGGCAAGGACCCAAACCAGATGCCAACACATGCCCAGTGGCACAGTGGCCTTGCAAAGATGGCTCAGGTGCAAGAGATACTGGTCTTTTGGCAGATATACACTGACTGGTGAGTTGTTGTGGGAAAGGCACATGGTAAGATGTAACTGAAAGCAGATGTGACAGTTGCCATGGGGGCAGGTTTGGTAAGAGAATCTAATAGGCCTCACGGTAGAAATCACTCCAAAAAACTTGATGCAACTCAGACTTAGCCAAAAAAAATAAGATTTAGCCCTCGGTATTTATGTTTCGCATGGGCCTCCTTCCAATGCTCTTCCCCTCATTATCAATTTCTTTCTCCCTCATGTATTGATCCTGCATCCCTTTAGAATCTTTTCACATGAGGGCTCCCATTTTCAGTTTTAATCTGAACTCACAGGCAGAGTGAGAAGCTCCAAGGACATTTCACCATCTGGGGATATGTGTCGTTAGGAGGTTGTGGAGATCAGGTTGGTGGTGGTAGTGGGGGCAGGTGCAGTAGAGTCTGTAGAAGCCAGGGAATGGGGGAGATGGCTGGGGGCGGGGGTGGCTTACTAACAGGGCAATATTACTGGGGGGTTTAAGGAGAGTGGTGAGTGGAGGGAGTTGAGTCTCCCTGCTTGCCCTCTGCACTCTCTCACTGTCTATGGCCCCATTTCCTCTGATTTGTTCACCTCAATTACTCCCTGCAGTGAGTTTCACATTCTTACCACTCTCAGTGAAAAGATATTTCCCCTGAATTCCCTGTTGGATTTATTAGTGGCTGCCTCCTATCCATGGCCTCAAACAGAGCCAAAGAAACACAGTCGGATAAAGGGTTTGCCACTGAGTGGGGGAGCAGAATTGCAGTCAGGTGAGCTGGCAGCAATGCAGAGTGCTGACGACATCCTAATTCATTGTTCTAGGCCTCACACCTCAAACAACCTTGGAGCACATAATGCACGCAGTCCAATCAAAAACATTTGATTAATTACAACAGCAGAGAAATCATTCAGGGACCAGTGAGCAGCAACAATGGACTTTGTGTTTGTGTTTGTGTTTGCAAGAAGTACAGGCTCGAACTTTGCTCTTTGCCTTCAGTGCTTCAGCCTATCCTTAAACTGGCAAAACACAGGACACTTGGACTTGATATACCTGATTCTGTCTCAATAACTAACAACAGAGGTCAGGAATATTCAGCACATGCAGCTCCAAGCACAACTTTACCTCCCTCACAAACTCTTACTGTCTGTAATCTCAGTATCCAGTGAATAAACCTGGGATTCTCTAGCATTTAGCATCCATTCTTATCTATATAATTTTAGCCAGAAAATCACTTGCAATGGCTTCCCTTCCCACTGCCACACTATTACCCTTGGTGTCTCCCAATACTTAAGGCTATCTCTCATCAACATACTGCCTCTTGGTGACTTCAACAAAGACAATATCAGTTTCGACTGACAGCACCCAGCCCTATCTCACCTCTGCTGAGGTGGCTGGACTCCTTCACTCTCTCTCTGATTAGCATCCAGTCTCACATGAGCGACATTTCCTCCAAAAGAATATTGGGAAGACTGAAACTGTCGTCTTTTGGTCCCTGCAACAAATTCATTTGCCCAGCTACTGACTCCATCACAGCATGGTATGCCAACTGCTCTGCGCAAGAAATTACAGAGAGTTGTGAACACAGTCCAGTCCATCACATAAACCAGCCTTCCATTGATTGACTCCATATACACTTCCCACTGCCTCAGGAAAGCAGTGAACATAATCAAAGACCCCTCCCACCCCAGTTATACTCTCTTCCACTCTCTTCCATTGGGCAAAAGTTACAAAAGTTTGAAAACACATACCAACAGATTTAAGAACTGCTTCTTCCCTGCTATCAGACTTATGAATGGTTCTCTCATATATTAGAATTGATCTTTCTCTGCACTTTCTCTGTAGCTGTAACACTATATTCTGCATTCTGTTCTATTACCCTGCTGTAATTATGTAAGGTATGATTTGTCTGGTTAGCATGCAAAACAATACATTTCATTGAAAACAAAAAAATGCGGAGATCACAGTGAATCAGGCAGCATCCATGGAGAGAAAGCAAGCACTTCACATCAGCTCTGATGAAGAGTTGTCTAGACTCGAGTATGAAGAGTTATTTAGACTCGAAACGTTTGCTTGCTTTCTCCCCATGGATGCTGCCTGACCTGCTGTGATCTCTAGCACTTTTTGTTTTCAGCACAGATTTCAGCATCTGCAGTAATTTGCTCCTACAATACTTTTCACTGTATCTTGTTCATGTGACAGTAATCAAATCAGATTAAATCTCTAGGCTGAATCAGAATGTTCGCAAATATATTTCACTCTGAGATGAGCTTCCTACATACTTCAACATCACTGAGACTTAACACTACCCCTCTGTAGATACCCTCTTTCTCAAAGGGCAGTGTAAACAGAATTGTTCAATGTTTATTAAAGCAGAGCAGGAGAGATACTTGACCAGTGAGAGGCTGGGAGGTTATCAGGAGAATCCAATAAGTGGGATGGTTCCAGGGATCAGGGATTACAGATAAACTGGTGTGTTCCCCTGAAAGCTAAGAAGCCTAAGGGGACTTGAAGGAGCTGTATCAAGTTATGAAAGGCTTAGATAAAATAAAGAGAAGCCATTTCCAATAGCCAAAGAAACAGATGACAAAGATTTAACTTCAGT